AATTTCACAAACGGTCACTAAACTTACGCAAAAATAACAAAACGGTCACTGAAGTTCAAAACTTGCAGAAACGGCCACTGAAATTTCATGCGCTTTCACAAACGGTCACTGAAGTTTCAATTTCTTTCACAAACGGTCACTGAAGGACAGTTATGATTTAAATTCAAACTTAAATAACCAAAACACATGAACATAGAACGGTAAGGTCCTCAAGTGCAAATTTCATTTAAAAACCAAAACCATTCCCTTCTCAACCCACCACCTTTGGACAACTATAACTCCAACCTCCGGCCACCTTGACCGCCGAACGAATATACCACGCCCTCGCTATTCTCTACGCAACCCACCCAAGAATTGACCCTAACTCCATCGGATTTCGTCGAAATTTCGTCCCAAAGTCAGCAACTCGCACATGACAGCACTGCCAGCCGCCACTTTGGGACGAAATTTCACCACTTTTCGGCCATCAAAACCACCAGACCAACACACTACCTTGAAGCCCTCGCCGTGCTCTACGCAACCCACCCAAGAATCGTCCCTAACTCCATTTGTGAAATTAACCCATAAAAAATTCAATTTCAAAGTGAAATTTATAATCTTATTTCATTGTAGCACCTATTGTCAACATTTTATCTAAAGTGGTTTTTTATTCTACTTTAGTGAATAACTTTGACTTTGCTGATAAATTATTAGATCATGATTCTTTGTACCATTGAAAATTCCTATGAGCCTACTTTTAAATGAAGCAAATGGTTTGTAAATTGGAATCTCCTACTATAATGTCGATATTGATAAAAGTTGATAAAAATTGTATGTTCCATAAAATATGTAATTAAAATTAATTGTAGAATATACTTTAATTTCTTATAAACTAATTTGTTTAAGAGGATATTTTTACTCGAATTTTGAATAGTAGACAATGATTAATAACCACCTAGCAAAGACAATAATCAAGCCACTTTATTTATAGTCATCGATTTCTACGCGTCAAGATTAATTTACTTTAACAATCACCTGTCAAAGTTAAAATGTAAGTTATTTTACTTTTGACTGTTTTTTCCTTTTTTGCATGACGAAATTATATTTAAGTGTTTCTATTGACATTGTATGCAGTTGACTCTATGATTTCCTTGGAGAAAGGGAATGTATTCTTAGCCTCTGTCTGATTTAGATAAAAATCAGAATTTTGGAAAATTTTGATAAAAACTGATGGAATGTACTGTTCAAAATTGTGAATTACATAAAATATGTGATTTTAATTTAAAAATTTTAGCCACAATGCTATTGATTGTTAGGAAATGGAATATTTTGCATGAAAATGAAATAATGAAAGACGCGTGTCAATTGGTGGGGGAGGTCTTTCGTAACACAATGTTGAATTTGAGGCAGAGAGCATATGGCTCTCGAGTCAGGAGAAGTGCAAAAACACGCAGCCAGAAAGAGAGAATAAAATTAAGAAAGTGAGAGATTCAAAGGTGACATCTTTAATCTACTTTGGACGTGTCTGGCATGTTTAAAAGGTTAAAATGAGTTTTTAAAATTCAAGAGGCAAAGCGAAGAAATAGGAAGGAGAGATATTTTGTGAAGTCCTTTTCGACTTTTATTTTTTTTTAGAAAATTTATTTTCAATCATACATTTTATGATATTCATGATATTTATCAATTTTTTAATCTTAATTTTATCAAAATTTATTAAAACCCTGATTCTAAACTAAACCAAATAGGGCAGGTTAAATCCACTTTTTCATATATTGCTATAACAGTAAAAATGG